TATGGCTATGCTAACGTTACCATGCTCGACCTTTTGTGTGATGTGTTTGTATGTTACTATTAATTTGAGTTGTATTACTATGGCGTAAGATCACTCTCAAAATACATGTTCATACTGAAAATTATAACAATTGTGCTTTTCAATTTTCAATATAATACAAGATAGTAATTGTGATCACTTAGGGTTTTAGAGTAATTTTTTAGTCTTGTTCTTACAGATGTTCCTTCGAGAACTTCGTTACCCAAAGGGCAACTTGTACTAAGTTAATGCACACGTAAGTTGAAAACAAATCTACATCTACATCTGTCTTGATGTATGTCTAAATACTTAATGCTGTATTCTCTATTGTTGACCTTACAGCAACAGAGAGGATCCTTCTGCAAATGTTGGAGGAGTTGCAGAGCCAGGTCCAACACCTGACAGAGATTGTTACCCAAAGACCTCCCTTTTGGGGTAACAGTCCTGCAGACACACCATTAACAATGGCAAGTGCACTGTACAAAATTGATTTATGATCTATTTTAATTAAATTTATTTTAGATTGATTTTGGAAATGTTTATTTTTTTCCTTGTCTAAATAATAGTTTCAAGGTGGATTTTTAGTTTACATTTCATACCAATTATATTTCTAAGTGAATTACTATTAACTCAATTACAGAGATTTTTAAAATACTTTTTACAGGTCTTTCTATAAGAATAAATTTTTTCAGTGTGCAGAGGATGGTGGACTTCCGCTGCAAGACATTGAGGAGCTGAAGAATATCGAAATGCAGTTGCGAAATGTTGACTTTATGAACAAACTGGTATGATTATGGTTTTTGAAAACTACCTTATACATAGCTAATACATGGATACTAAGAAATATAATAGATACTTATATCATATTATATATCACACACACACACTACCCAAAAGTATGTAATAAATTTTGTATGACCAAACATCTGTTGTCCCCTCCAGGGGGGTATTCCAGAAAGCTTGGTTAACTTACCATTTGGTAAATCATAACCTCTGGGTTGATA